GTTCACACCAGATACTGAGTGGTTTTTCTTATCCCATCCCTCCTTTTTTTAAGGTATCTGTGCCCAAACAGATTCCCAGTCTTTGAAATCCATAGATTAGGGTCTAATTAATTAATTTCAAATTGACTGATTTCCTAATATGAACTGTAACTCAGTAAAAGCTTTGAAATTGTTGCATGTTCCCTTTTATATTTTTGGCTTCTTCACCAATATGACTGGTCATTAAATAACATGACAAATACATTTAGTTTCTATGTTACACCTGCAATTTAAACAAACAAGGGGATTGAAGTAGCCTACTTGAACTTGGATTTGAGCTCAGAAATTCAAGTACTGGAATATGCCTACCTTGAAAATCAGACATTTACTAAATTTGGTGCTTGAAAAGTCCTTGAAATTATTGTAGCCAACTTATAAGTTCTCCTGATCCCTTATAATTTTCTGTGATTTCATTTTTTTATCATTTTTTGTGAGAGATGTGGCCACTTCTTTTGGTTTCCTGGCGCTTCAATTGAGCGGTGTTGCGCTACTCTTTTGCAGTAAAACCACGTGCGGTTATAATGAGGACGACAACATCTAATGCTGGCTTAAAACTTGGCTTTCCATACAAATTTTTCCCATTACAAAAGGAACCTGGTTTTGGCGCTTTCTCATTAGAAAACAGCGATGGCCATATAGGCTACAGAAAAATCGCAATGCATGCATCCAATTTATTTAGTCAGGCAAGTCCACATTATTTTCACATATTTTAAAAATGTAATAAAAATTTGAATATAAATCCTAAAAAATGCTTTTTTTCTTAAAATGGTATTGCCCAATTCTTTTTGGACACTTTCTTTTTTTTTGGGGGGGGGGGGGGGCTATAAGGGGCCAATTTAGTGTAAGTGGTAAGGAAAAATATAAAGAACACTATTTAAATCTAAAAATAAAAATGAAATCAAAATTGGTTTTCCATATTTTTTTTTTTTTTGATTGTTTTTTTTTTTCCAAAATTATCCCATTCCGGCCATTACAATGACCTATCCTCCTATAGCCCTCCCCCCACCCCCCCCGCCAAAATGCAATTTATAATTATACAATTGTAATACTTAGGGGCCTTTAAAATTACAAAGAAGGGTTGAAAAATCCCCCGAAAGTCCTGTATTTACTGCCAATGTCTGTATGACCTCTTAAGGTAAAGCCCTAGGCCTATGTTGTGGTAAAAGCGGTTAGCCCCATGTAGCTCAGTTGGTAGAGCATGGCGTTGAAAACGCCAGGTTGTGGGTTCATTCCCCTGGGGGCCAGTATGAAATGTATGCACTCCCTAACTGTAAGTCGCTCTGGATAAGAGTGTCTGCAAATGACTAAAATGTTAGGGGCCCTAATTTGAATATATCCTCAATTTACACTGTGGAACTGCATGAAAATCATTTATAATTTTGGCCCCCAATGTCACCATTGGCCCCATTATTTATAGAAAGACCCGTATACACTGAGCATACCAAACATTAGGAAAAACCCCCTTCCTAATATTGAGTTGCCCATGTTATTTTGGAAGATGAGACGTTGAGGATTAGCCTATAATAAAATACCACTTTGATGTCATACAAGCAAGCCAACACCCTGAGTCCAATTGCACTTCACATCAAACTCATGTCATATACAGTGTCAACGTTTATGATCACTATGTTTGATGTACAAGTTACAAGATGGCATGTCGTCATAACCTGGGTTGTTCTGAACAGAATGAGCCCGTTTATTGTGAAGAAAATTGGACACGGCCACGCACCTGAATGCACTCATGATTCCTTTCTATGCGCACCAAAATTACGATCTGTTTCTCTGAATTGCCTTGTGAAAGCCTAACAATGTAATATATTTATAACTTAGCTTATTGTGTTGGCAATAGAACAAGCCTTCAAATCATGCCCACCAAACCCAGATTGGCGATTTATAATGGACAGTTTTGGATTGCGTTAACAACAACAGTAATTGTGTGATGGTGCGGGGATGCAGGGTTGTATTCCAACAAGTAACTACAAGTGTGCTTGCTCTAGTTCCTCAACGGCACAGCTAGGAGAACTCATAAAAGTACCTTATAGTTGAGGACTCTTCTTTGAGTCATAAAAGTGCATTGGAAATTGCTTAGGAACTGTGCACACTATGGAGAGATGTGTGGCTTACTTGGAGACACCAGTGAGTCCTCTCAATCAAACCCTTGTAATTATTTGTCTAATGTTGCACCTAGCCCACATTTAACCAGGAATAGTCCTTATCGTGTTACTGAATGTATCCAGAGTATTTTCAGATTTTGTCATCAAACAAATGCGGCGAAAACTACAGTAAAATGCACATAAATCAACAGTGTAATGTTTGGATTCAGTCGTGTCAGGTGAACTGTTGTGTACTCATCTTTGGTCTAATAATTTTCCCATAATCGCCTAACGTGGCCTTTCAATCGCTAACATGGTTATGTATATGCTTTTCATATTTCTTCTGTAAGAAACATTTAAATTAAGCCCTATACATACAGTGAGGGAAAAAAGTATTTGATCTCCTGCTGATTTTGTACATTTGCCCACTGACAAAGACATGATTCAGTCTGTAATTTTAATGCTAGATTTATTTGAACAGTGAAAGACAGAATAACACAAAAAAATCCAGAAAAAACGCATATCAAACAATGTTATAAATTGATTTGCATTTTAATGAGGGAAAATAAGTATTTGACCCCTCTGCAAAACATGACTTAGTACTTGTGGCAAAACCCTTGTTGGCAATCACAGAGGTCAGACGTTTCTTGTAGTTGGCCACCAAGTTTGCACACATCTCAGAGGGATTTTGTCCCACTCCTCTTTGCAGATCTTCTCCAAGTCATTAAGGTTTTGAGCCTGACGTTTGGCAACTCGAACCTTCAGCTCCCTCCACAGATTTTCTATGGGATTAAGGTCTGCAGACTGGCTAGGCCACTCCAGGACCTTAATGTTGCTTCTTCTTGAGCCACTCCTTTGTTGCCTTGGCCGTGTGTTTTTGGGTCATTGTCATGTTGGAATACCCATCCACGACCCATTTCCAATGCCCTGGCTGAGGGAAGAGGTTCTCACCCAAGATTTGATGGTACATGGCCCTGTCCATCGTCCCTTTGATGCAGTGAAGTTGTCCTGTCCCCCTTGGCAGAAAAACACCCCCAAAGCATAATGGTTCCACCTCCATGTTTGACGGTGGGGATGGTGTTCTTGGGGTCATAGGCAGCATTCCTCCTCCTCCAAACACGGCGAGTTAAGTTGATGCCAAAGAGCTCGATTTTGGTCTCATCTGACCACAACACTTTCAACCCAGTTCTCCTCTGAATCATTCAGATGTTCATTGGCAAACTTCAGACGGGCATGTATATGTGCTTTCTTGAGCAGGGGGACCTTGCGGGCGCTGCAGGATTTCAGTCCTTCACGGCATAGTGTGGTTACCAATTGTTTTCTTGGTGACTATGGTCGCAGCTGCCTTGATATCATTGACAAGAGCCTCCCGTGTAGTTCTGAGCTGATTCCTCACCGTTGTCATGATCATTGCAATTCCACGAGGTGAGATCTTGCATGGAGCCCCAGTCCGAGGGAGATTGACAGTTCTTTTGTGTTTCTTCTTCCATTGCGAATAATCGCACCAACTGTTGTCACCTTCTCACCAAGCTGCTTGGCGATGGTCTTGTAGCCCATTCCAGCCTTGTTAGGTCTAACAATCTTGACCTACATCCTTGGAGAGCTCTTTGGTCATGGCCATGGTGGAGAGTTTGGAATCTGATTGATTGATTGATTGCTTCTGTGGACAGGTGTCTTTTATCCAGTAACAAACTAAGATTAGGAGCACTCCCTTTAAGAGTGTGCTCCTAATCTCAGCTCGTTACCTGTATAAAAGACACCTGGGAGCCAGAAATCTTTCTGATTGAGAGGGAATCAAATACTTATTTCCCTCATTAAAATGCAAATCTATTTATAAAATTTTTGACATGCGTTTTTTCTGGATTATTTTGTTGTTATTCTGTCTCTCACTGTTCAAACAAACCTACCATTAAAATTATAGACTGATAATTTCTTTGTCAGTGGGGCAAACGTACAAAATCAGCAGGGGATCAAATACTTTTTGGAATTGGCACTGTACAGGCCAATTCCCAAATAAAGGGTTAATAGTTTTTTCATTTCTTTGCGAGCATGATAACTGTACTTTAAGTTTATGATTGACCGCAGCGTGTTTGCCATTAGCCAATCGCCGTTTCTCAACGAGTTCAAAGCACGTGAAGGCATCCAACTCGTATTTACGACTTCACAACTGATAATTATCACCTTCCCACATGGTTATGAACACAGCACAAGGCCAACTTCGGATAGTTGATATCCCACTGGGCTGTGCACAATAACATGGGGGACGAGGTTACAGAGAAAAAAGCTTCTGGGAATTTAGTGTAGGTCTATGCCTTTACTATTTGAAAATCATTAAGTCACAGCTATTCCCCTACAATGCAAGTAGCTTTATTAGAATAAGTCAAAATGGGGACTCTTCTCCAGTGCTAGTAATGGAATGATGTCTGCTAGAAAATCATTGTCAATACTGGCAATGAAAGACATTCCATTAAATCACAACTCAGTATCTTTTCAACACAATTTTGTTTCATTTATTTCAACAATCTCAAGTGAATTGCAACAATCATACAAACAGTACAAAATAATTATTTCAGAAACAAGTGACAGGAATTTGTAAAATATATAGGTTATTACTGTCATTATTGAGCTGTCCTGTGGTACAATCTATTGTATGAATGTTGTCTTGAGGTGACAGGTGCATTTTGGTCATGTCTGTTGTTCATCTGTGAAATGAAATAAACATTAATCATGTCAGTAACATGCTGACAAATAACACTGGACAACAATTAAATACAGTGAGGATGTTGTGTGTGTGTGTGTGTGTGTACTGTTCACACCTGTTTCTGAGGATCCAAATCATTGGTTCTCTCAACCAATGAAATTAATGACCACGAGGTGCAGGACAGTGTGGGCTAGTAAGAAATCTGCAAAGGCCCTCTCCTGGGAGATGGACAGGAAGTCTCCTTTGTTTTCTGGATTGATCTGGATACGCAGGCAGACTGTAGGCAGAGGGACCACAGAGAAGATTGGTTAACCAGAAACCATTACAACAATGGTTGCAGCCATTGATTATCTTCATGTTTCAGTGACGTACAATACTGCTGAATGTCACAATACTATGCAAAAAATGGACCGCTAAGTGTGTCAATTACCTCCCAGGATGAAGGCGCCAACACATGATATGAACCCCGGCCAAGAAGCTGTTGAATGGGAAGGTGCCAACCAGCAAGCAGTACAGAAACTGCAATGCACCGGTTAGCAAGATGTAGAAAAGGTACGCGTCGACCACTTTCAATTTATTTGATGTTTTGGTCGTGTATTCCTCCAGGAACCGAGAAATAACTGAAATTACCGAGTTGGACATGTTTTCTTATGAACAAAAAGCCCCAAAAGGTGCAGAGAGAATCAAAATGTATATCGAATACGCTTCCGTCTGACGCGGCAACAAAAATGACGTGTCACTGAAACTGGTGTAACAATAACAACATTCCCTCCTGCACATATAATCCACTGTACAGTAGTTCCATGTTACTAAACTTTGATTCTACGTGTTATTGATGTATATTAAACACTGACTATGTCCCTTTATGCCCTCTGTTTGCGATAACGATACAACCAAAGTAAGTTAGTGGAAATAATTAAGAAAAGTGAGCACTTTGGTTTGATAACAGTTTTGCATGGTAGACACTAAAGATTTAGTATTTTGTTTTTATGAATTGGTCAATTCTAGTGGCAAGTTGATTTATGCTGTTGATCATAAAGTGTGTGTATCTGTCCTCTCTGTAAGTCAGTATCTGGGTGGGGATGGTGGCCCTCATGGTGCCCAACCTCTATGACCATTCTGAAGAGCACAGAAGCCAATATCTAATTTGTCTGAAAGCATTTCAAAGGTACCCACTAGTCCTGACTTGACTATTTGATTTTGCCACATTGTATCACCTGTACTTCTTGTTGTCTCACCTCCCTGCCTCTCCTTTTCCGAGACTCAAAATGATCTGTGGGCTTGTTTTGTGTCCCTGCCCAATCAGGACCTTATCTGGACCCTAAATGTCACCAACAGGAACCAGTTAAATGCTCTGAAGCCTGGTACTGTCTCTCCCCTTCTCTATAGTGTTTTTGTCAGTCAGTACCAAAAACTCACTATTCCAGTGGAGTGGACATACTTTTTGTGGACATCCTTTTTGTACTACATTGAGTCCGCCTAACCATTTCCCTTTTCCTCCTCTCTTCCAGTTTGCACAGACACCTCTTGTCGAAGGTGCATGGTATGGATTTGGGGGAGGGGTAGGGTTATGGATACGTAACCTAGACCCCCTCTGTTGCTCTCAACCACTCTTTATGTTTGACTTGCTGGGTTTCGGACGGAGCTCCAGACCCCAAATTCCCCATGGACTCAGCAATGGCTGAGGAGCAGTCAGTTAGCACTGAAGGCATGATCCTATTGGGTCACAGTCTGGGCGGCTAATTAGCAACATCCTATGCCATTCAATACCCTGAGAAGTTTACATTGACACACTCTTTAGTGGCTAATCTTTAGCTTTATGAAAAGCATATGAACTTGGAGTAACATGGCTCATTCTTCCTTTCCCTATCCAAGTCAGTCACCTGATTCTTGTTGACCCCTGGGGCTTCCAGCCCATGCCTGTGGATGCAACCTCAGGATCGACCAGACCAGGCTGCCCTTGCTGGGTAGAGGCCCTAATAGCCTTTTCCACTCTCTTCAACCCACTGGCATTGATCCGAGCCGCAGGACCTTGGGGTGAGAGGGGACTGGTTGTCTGGGTGGCATAGCCTGGGGTTCAGGGATGAAAGATAATATACAGTGAGGGAAAAAAAAGTATTTGATCCCCTGCTGATTTTGTAAGTTTGCCCACTGACAAAGAAATGATCAGTCTATAATTTTAATGTTAGGTTTATTTGAACAGTGAGAGACAGAATAACAACAAAAAAAATCCAGAAAAACGCATGTCAAAAATGTTATAAATTGATTTGCATTTTAATGAGGGAAATAAGTATTTGACCCCCTCTCAATCAGAAAGTTTTCTGACTCCCAGGTCTCTTTTTATACAGGTAACGAGCTGAGATTAGGAGCACACTTTTAAAGGGAGTGCTCCTAATCTCAGTTTGTTACCTGTATAAAAGACACCTGTCCACAGAAGCAATCAATCAATCAGATTCCAAACTCTCCACCATGGCCAAGACCAAAGAGCTCTCCAAGGATGTCCATGCAAGATCTCACCTCGTGGAGTTGCAATGATCATGAGAACGGTGAGGAATCAGCCCAGAACTACACGGGAGGATCTTGTCAATGATCTCAAGGCAGCTGGGACCATAGTCACCAAGAAAACAATTGGTAACACACTACACCGTGAAGGACTGAAATCCTGCAGCGCCCGCAAGGTCCCCCTGCTCAAGAAAGCACATATACAGGCCTGTCTGAAGTTTGCCAATGAACATCTGAATGATTCAGAGGAGAACTGGGTGAAAGTGTTGTGGTCAGATGAGACCAAAATCGAGCTCTTCGGCATCAACTCAACTCGCCGTGTTTGAAGGAGGAGGAATGCTGCCTATGACCCCAAGAACACCATCCCCACCGTCAAACATGGAGGTGGAAACATTATGCCTTGTGGGTGTTTTTCTGCTAAGGGGACAGGACAACTTCACTGCATCAAAGGGACGATGGACAGGGCCATGTACCATCAAATCTTGGGTGAGAACCTCCTTCCCTCAACTAGGGCATTGAAAATGGGTCGTGGATGGGTATTCCAGCATGATAATGACCCAAAACACACGGCCAAGGCAACAAAGGAGTGGCTCAAGAAGAAGCACATTAAGGTCCGGGAGTGGCCTAGCCAGTCTCCAGATCTTAATCCCATAGAAAATCTGTGGAGGGAGCTGAAGGTTCGAGTTGCCAAACGTCAGGCTCGAAACCTTAATGACTTGGAGAAGATCTGTAAAGAGGAGTGGGACAAAATCCCTCCTGAGATGTGTGCAAACCTGGTGGCCAACTACAAGAAACGTCTGACCTCTGTGATTGCCAACAAAGGTTTTGCCACCAAGTACTAAGTCATGTTTTGCAGAGGGGTCCAATACTTATTTCCCTCATTAAAATGCAAATCAATTTATAACATTTTTGACATGCGTTTTTCTGGATTTTGTTGTTGTTATTCTGTCTCTCACTGTTCAAATAAACCTACCATTAAAATTATAGACTGATCATGTCTTTGTCAGTGGGCAAACGTACAAAATCAGCAGGGGATCAAATACTTTTTTCCCCTCACTGTAGGTTAACTCTTTCTTTTGATCTTTCTGTTTTACTAATCCTTTTGTCTCCTTTTCACCCTAATTTTTACTACCCCAGCTCTCTTTCACAGGTCAAAAATTAGTTAACAGATTTAGTCCGGATTTCAATGGGACGTTTCAGGGCCTACTTGATAAAGACACTATAGACGGGTTGGCTGACATTGTCACGAAAATTATGCGCAAACATTGATGTGGCCGGAAGGTGTGCATTGTTATGATACTGAACAGTCATATATCTAGCAACAATGACAAGAAGCTGCCTTGTGGGGAATCGTAGGTGGTGCATTTCAGCTCATTGTATCTTGTTATTGATACCATGTCTTTTTTTTAGATGTTTTGGCTGATGTCATGTCTATGCTAATATAGCAAAAATTCACTAGCTAGCTAACCAACAACTGTAAGGATGTATTTGAGAGACAACAAGTGCTCATTGTGCAAATGTATTTGTTTTCAATAAACCTTTTGAAGACGAAATATAGTTTGGTGTTCAACCTTCCCAAGTTCACCCATGTCCCACCGCTCCGCCGCACACTCCACTGGCTTCCAGTCGAAGCTCACATTCACTACAAGACCATGGTACGTGTCTACGGAGCAGCAAGAGGAACTGGGAGACAGAGAAAAGCTTGGACTGGGCTGAGCGGGAGCTGCCCTCCCGTAGGGGTGGGAGGGCCAACAGACCAGCAGTTTATGCTCAAACCCTACACCCCAACCTTGAGCACTCCGTTCTGTCACTGCTGGTCTGTTGGCCCTCCCACCCCTACGGGAGGGCAGCTCCCGCTCAGCCCAGTCCAAGCTTTTCTCTGTCTCCCAGAAGCTAGGACCGCAGAGCCCCTGCCGATCTTCCGAAAACATCTGAAACCCTACCTCTTCAATGAGTATCTTAAATATTCCCACAGCACCCTTCCTCGCACCCCTCCTGATAAGATGCAGTGTAAAAGTTAACTATCACCCATAGTGGTAGGAGAAAAACGTGTAAATAAGAAATCATAGCCAAACGCATACTGACTTTTTTTTCTACCTTTATTTTAACAGGGAAGACATATTGAGACCTAGGTCTCTTCCAAATGTGCCCTGTATAATACAATACAAATATACACAAAAAATATATATACACTATCGTTCAAAAGTTTGGGGTCACTTAGAAATGACCTTGTTTTCGAAAGAAAAGCAATTTTTTTATCCATTAAAATAACATCAAATTGATCGGAAATACAGTGTAGACATTGTTAATGTTGTAAAGAAAACGCCATATCTCAGACTGGCCAATAAAAAGAAAAGATTAACATGGGCAGTCTGAGATATGGCTTTTTCTTTGCAACTCTGCCTAGAAGGTCAACATCCCGGAGTCACCTCTTCACTGTTGACGTTGAGACTGGTGTTTTGCGGGTACTATTTAATGAAGCTGCCAGTTGAGGACCTGTGAGGAGTCTGTTTCTCAAACTAGACACTCTAATGTATTTGTCCTCTTGCTCAGTTGTGCACCGGGGCCTCCCACTCCTCTTTCTATTCTGGTTAGAGCCAGTTTGCGCTGTTTTGTGAAGGGAGTAGTACACAGCGTTGTACAAGATCTTCAGTTTCTTGGTAATTTCTCGCATGGAATAGCCTTAATTTCTCAGAACAAGAATAGACTGACGAGTTTCAGAAGAAAGTTATTTGTTTCTGGCCAATTTGAGCCTGTAATCGAATCCACAATTGCTGATGCTCCAGATACTCAACTAGTCTCAAGAAGGCCAGTTTTATTGCTTCTTTAATCAGCACAACAGTTTTCAGCTGTGCTAACATAATTGCAAAAGGGTTTTCTAATGGTCAATTAGCCTTTTAAAATGATAAACTTGGATTAGCAAACACAACGTGCCATTGGAACACAGGGCTGATGGTTGCTGATAATGGGCCTCTACACCTTTGTAGATATTCCATTAAAATAGCCATTTACAACATTAACAATATCTACACTGTATTTCTGATCAATTTGATGCTATTTTATTGGACAAAAAAAATGTATATGTTCGTAGGTGGCTCGTGTATATATACAGTATATACACATTCAAAAACAAAAACACAGTCATGGTAAGCATAAATAAAACATTCACCAATCACCCAGAAAAACAGTTACATTCCTCCACAAATAAGTCCCAATTCAATACTTTAAATTGCCTGAAAGGCACCAGAACATCAAGATAAAATGTATTTGTATTTTGTTCCAGCAATACGGTGCATTAAAACTAACAGCAGGTTTACCCATCTCGGTGGAGACCCTAGGAACCTGAAGAGTTAACCAATCTTGTGAATGGGTTAGGCGACTCAGGTGTCTATACTTCAACAGCAAAGTTAGATAAGATGGAAGTTTATGATGTAGGGCTTTGTAAACAAAAAGGGAGTCATGTAGAGATCTACGGGTCTTTAGCGAAGTCCAGCCAACGTTTTGATACAGGATGCAGTGATGAGTATCAAAAACAACAAAACGAAGGGCACTATGGTAGGTGGCATCTAAAGGTTTAAGAATAGTAGCAGCAGCACTTTGATAAATAATATCACCATAATCAAGAACAGATAAAAGGGCTGACTGAATAATCTGCTTCCTACTGCTTAGAGAAAGGCACAATCTGTTTCTGTAGAAAAAGCCAACTTTAAATCTTAGCTTCTATACCAGCTCATCTATATGTTTTTTTAAATGTCAAATCTATATCAATCCAAATGCCTAAGTATTTATATGTGTGAACATGGTCGATTGGAGAACCATCTAATGAGTAAACATGTAGTTCATCTGAAACATTCCTACGAGAGTTTAAAAACATGTATTTCGTTTTAAATTAGCAAGGGATTCCTGCATAGCTATAACATCAGACTGTAGTTTTGACACAGCCAGATCAACAGTTGGGGCAATAGCATGCATAATAATATCATCCGCATATAAATGAAGTTGACAATTTTTAACAGATTGACCAATGGTGTTTATATACAGTGGGGAAAAAAAGTATTTAGTCAGCCACCAATTGTGCAAGTTCTCCCACTTAAAAAAATGAGAGAGGCCTGTAATTTTCATCATAGGTACACGTCAACTATGACAGACAAATTGAGAAAAGAAATCCAGAAAATCACATTGTAGGATTTTTAATGAATTTATTTGCAAATTATGGTGGAAAATAAGTATTTGGTCACCTACAAACAAGCAACATTTCTGGCTCTCACAGACCTGTAACTTCTTCTTTAAGAGGCTCCTCTGTCCTCCACTCGTTACCTGTATTAATGGCACCTGTTTGAACTTGTTATCAGTATAAAAGACACCTGTCCACAACCTCAAACAGTCACACTCCAAACTCCACTATGGCCAAGACCAAAGAGCTGTCAAAGGACACCAGAAACAAAATTGTAGACCTGCACCAGGCTGGGAAGACTGAATCTGCAATAGGTAAGCAGCTTGGTTTGAAGAAATCAACCGTGGGAGCAATTAT